CTCTGTTAGATTCCACTGGCTTCTCTCAGAGTGTTCATGAACCGACTCACTGTCTTAACCACACCCTCGACCTTGTTTTGGTGTATGGTATTGAAATTGAACATTTAATAGTGTCCCCACAGAATCCCTCTTTATCCGACCACTGTTTGACAACTTTTGAGTTTGTATTGCTGAACTACATGCCATTGGGAAAAAATTTCTATACAAGATGTCTGTCTGATAGTGCTGTAGCTAAATTTAAGGATGCGATTCCATCAGCTCTAAATTCATTATCAAGTCACAAAGTAACAGAGGACTCCTATGCTAATTTCAGTCCCTCCCAAATCGATCATCTTGTTGATAGTGCTGCAGGCTTCCTGCAAATTGTACTCAACTCTGTAGCCCCTCTAAAAAAGAAAATAATAAAACAAAGACGGTTAACTAATACTGAAACTCACAAATTAAAGCAAATATCGCGGAAGCTTGAGAGGAATTGGCGTTCCACCAAACTGGAAAATTCTCGTTTAATTTGGCAAGATAGTCTTAAAACTTATTGGAAGGCCCTCCATAATGCCAGAGCAGAGTACTACTCGTCATTAATAGAGGAAAATAGGAACGACCCCAGGTTTGTTTTCAGCACTGTACCCAGGCTGACAGAGAGTCACACCTCTATTGAGCCAAGTATTCCCATAGCTCTCAGTAGTTACGACTTCATGAGCTTCTTTAATGATAAAATTCTAGCTATTAGAGACAAAATTCACCAAGACCTGCCCTCAACTGGCACCAACTTATTTCTCAACTCAGGAACCTTAGAAACAGCTGTAGAACCAGATATATGTTTAGACTGTTTTGCTTCCCTCAATCTTTACCAACTAACTTCAATAATTTCTTCATCTAAACCATCAACCTGCCTCTTAGACCCCATCCCGGCTAGGCTGCTTAAAGATGTTTTACCCTTAGTCAGCACTTCTATACTAGATATGATCAATCTATCTTTATCATCAGGCTATGTACCACAGTACTTTAAAGTAGTTGTAATTAAACCTCTTCTGAAAAAGCTCAAACTTGATCCAGATGTTTTAGCCAACTATAGACCTATATCTAACGTTCCATTTCTCTCTAAGGTCCTAGAGAAAGCAGTTGCTAAACAGCTGTGTGACTTTCTACAGAGCAATAGTGTATTTGAGGATTTTCAGTCAGGATTTAGAGCTCATCATAGCACAGAGACAGCACTGGTGAAAATTACTAATGACCTCCTTATTGCATCAGACAAAGGACTTGTCTCTGTACTGGTTTTATTAGATCTTAGTGCTGCATTTGATACCATTGACCATCAGATCCTATTGCAGAGACTGGAACATTTCATTGGCATTAAAGGAACCGCTCTAAGCTGGTTTAAGTCCTATTTATCAGATAGATTTCAGTTTGTACATGTTAACGATGAGTCCTCCATGCATGCCAAAGTTACTCATGGAGTTCCTCAAGGATCTGTCCTTGGACCAATCCTCTTCACTTTATATATGCTTCCTTTAGGCAATATTATCAGGAAACATTCCATAAGCTTTCATTGTTATGCAGATGATACTCAGTTATATCTATCGATCAAGCCAGATGAAACTCATCAGTTAGCTAAACTTCAAATGTGCCTTCAGGATGTCAAAACCTGGATGACCTGTAATTAAACGCATTATCTAAAGATATAGTTTCCCTTGATGGCATCGCCCTGGCCTCCAGCACTACTGTGAGGAGTCTTGGAGTTATCTTTGATCAGGACATGTCGTTTAAGTCTCACATTAAGCAAATTTCAAGGACCGCCTTTTTTCACCTATGTAATATTTGTTACTTCAAGTCTGGATTACTGCAATTCCTTATTATCAGGCTGCTTGAAAAAGTCCATTAAGACTCTTCAGCTGATCCAGAATGCTGCAGCACGTGTTCTGACAGGAACCAGGAAAAGAGATCACATTTCTCCTGTTTTAGCTTCTCTGCATTGGCTCCAGTAAAATCCAGAATAGAATTTTAAATCATTCTTCTTACCTACAAAGCTCTTAATGGTCAGGCACAATCTTATCTTAAAGAGCTCATAGTACCTTACTACCCCACCAGAGCACTGCGCTCCCAGAATGCAGGGTTACTTGTGGTTCCTAATGTCTTCAGAATGGGAGCCAGAGCCTTCAGCTATCAAGCTCCTCTCCTGTGGAACCAGGTTCCAGTTTGGGTTCAGGAGGCAGACACCATCTCCACATTTAAGAGTAGGCTTAACACTTTTCTCCCTTAGGGCTGTCTCAGGTGAGTCCTGAACCATCCCTTAGTTATGCTGCTATAGGCCTAGACTGCCGGGGGATTTCCTATGATGCACTGAGCTGTGTGGAGTCTGGATCTGTTCCTGCTCGACACCCTCTGCTACAGCAACTATTGTTACTAGTCCTATTGTTATTATTGTTATTATAATCATTAACATTATCATTAACACTACTATAAATATCTGTACCATTTTTCATTTAGTCTATAGCAACATCACCTTTACTGTCTGAACCACTGTGTGTATATTGTGTAGGCTGCCTCCCTCCCCTCTCTCTCCTTCCATCCCTCTCTTTTTCTCTCTGTTCCTCTCTCTCTCTCTCTCTCTCCTGCCCTCTCTCTCTCCTTCACCCAACAGGTGGAGGCAGATGGCCCCACCCTGAGCCATGGTTCTGCTCGAGGTTTCTGCCTCTTAAAAAGAAGTTTTTCCTTGCCTCTGTCGCCTAGTCCTTGCTTTTGGTGGGAATTGTTGGGCTTCTGTAAATATCATCAGAGTATGGTCTAGACCTGCTCTTTTATGAAAAGTGCTATATAAATAACATTTAATTTAATTGAAATGTTTATCTTTGCATCTGAAAATGAAACTGAAGTTGATTAACTGGCGAAAAAATTGGCTTGGTGCCACTCTTGGCAGTAGGCCTACCTGTAGGTCACAACTGTTGTTGCACCTGCTCTTTATCACTTCCCATTTCTTCATGTTACCACCCCAACAGTTAGTTTAGTTTGTTAAGTCTGCAGACTGTCACCGATTGTCCTAGTGAATGAAGACAGAAATAAATCTGGCAGAAAGCTCCATGGTGTTGCGTTTGTTAAATGAGTTTAGTCATTCCTTGATAAATAAAACACTGCGTGAATTCTAAATATCTCTTTTTGAGGCTGAGTAAGAGAACGCACTCCATATCGTGGTTGCGTGCGTGTGTTACACATCAAGGATCACCCGTTCACCACACGAACATTGACGGACAGCAAGCCAACCAATACTTATTGTAGGTTTCTCTGCGTGAGAAATATAAGTTTGGTGTGTCCACAGACAGAAGAAACTCTGCAGAAGAAACAGAATTCAACTTTTAGCTTCTATTAAATGTAGACGCACTGATGGAGTTTAGGATTGATCAGGAGGACGGCTGCTTTACTCCATACAGTTTGTCTGTATGAACCTGGACTGTGTGTGAGACCTTTTGTGGAAGAATACAAAATATTAATTAACTTTATATTCTGACTAATATGAAGTTATGCTGCTGTGTCCCGTGCGTGAACGCGCACTCTCTCTTAATGGAGAGACGCTTCACCTTATTCCACCCATACCGAATGTCACAAATTGTATCGTCCAAACCTCTGCCCGAAACCAGCAGTGCTCTCTGTTAGTGAACGCACAAGGTTTTCATGTGCTTATTGTGTTTCCCCAGGTGTGGACACTGAGCGTGGAATAGTTTTCAAGTTGAACTTCAATGATAGTAGAGATGGTATAATAAGCTGTGCCCGTGTGCCGTCCATTTAAGTTGATCGTGTTATATGTGTTTTCTATTCGAATTATTTTATTTATACATACATCCATAACCTATACATATAACTACTTTAAGCAAAAATGTCTTCCCGCGTGCCTACAAGAGAGCTACAAACGTCAAAACAGGCAGTCTTCTATTTTTTATTTATTTATTTTTTTTACACAATAGCTGAATGTAATTAATCTACAGGTTTTCATGATATTACTCTTACTGGCACTTTGGGTTTTAGAGTTTCCATTATTAGTCAGTCTCCTGTCACCTGCACCATTTGATAATCGGGTAGGCTAAGGGGTAGCCTAATTTAATCTTACAAATAGCCTATAGTAGCGTAGATGTAAACTTACCTGTATTACACAGACTCTGTGAAATTTTTTTATAGCGCTGTTTGGTGAAGAAAAACTGTAGACACAATCCCCAAACGAAAGTTTAGCCTATGGTCTGCCTTTGATCCACACAACTCGCACATCCGCTTGCTTTGAGGTCATATCGCGGTGAAGTTAGGTTTAAGTTGGATATTCGACACCCATCCACCCAGGATCCAGTGTTGGCAATATACGTGCGGTTAGCTCACCTCCGAATGCTCGCTTTTAACCATCGGGGTTTAACTTAGGAACCATCAATAAATTACTATTGTTAAAAGAGTGTTATGGGAAAATCATCATCTATTTCAATAGCTTCAATGTCATGGGATCCAAGGACACAAAACCAATGCCGAATTGTAGTAGTACACTGGGGAAATGAGACACACTTCTTCATATAAACTTTGAGTGCACAAATGAATTTATATTAATATTTATTAATAATTTATGGAAAATAATGCTTTCCCCTCCCCTCCAAAAGCTTCCATGTCATGTGAAACAGAGACTCCAAACCAATGCCGATTCCTTGACTAAGCAAATGAGACAGACCTTTCATATTGGATCTGGTGCATTTTTTAATTTATATTATTTGATAACTTTTTTTCAATTTTTAATAACTTCCATGTCATGTGATTCAGTGACTCCAAACCAGTGCTGAACTGGGTGTTGTGGTGGCAGCCCGGCTGACGGTGAGTGTCCTGTTCATTTCTCCTTTTTTGCTTGTGATTCTGTTTTTCCTGTACTCCGCCTGCCTCCCTGTGTCTCCTCCCCTGCCTGTGCTCTGCCTCTCTCTCTCCCTCCGCTCCTGAGCCCAGCGAACGACCCGCACCTGCACCTCGTCAGCCACCTCCTCTGCCTGCCACACCTGCCAGCAATCAGCCTCATCTCTGGCAGTACTTCTGTCAACCCCGGCTTGATCGTCGTTGCTCCTTACCTGGTGCCACTTCATCACTCAAGCTCTTAGGTACTCTGCGTCATTTCTGTTTCCCTGTGCCTGGTTCCCACAGTGTCTAACCCTGTCGGTCTGTCTGTCTCCCCTCCAGGTCCACTCACCGCCATCCTCCGTTCCGTCAGCTGGGCTTGCCACCCTGCCCTCTCCCCTCGGACCTCTTCCACGGCGTCCTCCGGGCTCTTCCCCGTGCCTCTTTACTCCCTCGGTCCCGAGAGCCCCCGACTCCCTTGTCTCAGTCTCCTTGGTTGCCCGTGTTTCATCGGCGTCCGCCTCTCCCTCACCTCCACTCCCTCAACCCCTTTTCCCCTTCAATAAAGCCTGTTCTTCCCGAGTGTTGCGTTTGGGTCCACTCTGTCCCCACACCACAACACTGGGCAAATGAGATACACCTCTTCATATTAACTTTAAGTGCATATTTTATTTTATTTTAATGTTAAATTTTTTTATGGAAATAATATTTGTCTTTAATAGCCTCCATGTCATGTGACCTAGAGGCTCCAAAGTGCTTTTATATTTAGTTTATACATATATGCTTAAATATAATATGAAGAGCTGTACCTCATGGAAGCTATTGAAAAAACTAGAAATTAGAACATGCGCTCAAATGTAACATGAAGACGTGTGTCTCATTTGCTTAGTGTAGTTCTACAATTCTGCATTGGATTGGAGTCATAGAATCAACTGACATGGAAGCCAATCAAAAAAAAATATACATACCAAATGAAAGAATGAAGTCTTGGGCAGAAGTTTTGTATTCATTATGTCTTCCTATCTTATCTCATTATGGAGCTGTAGACTGTTGAATAGAGAGCGTGCACTTGTGACAATTTGCCCCATCGGCAGGTAAGTTGACTCACTGGATTATCAAACAGTTAGAACACTTAATTGTGAATATTGATTTCAATTTCAAATTGTAACCAGAACTAAAAAATAAAATCCATCAACAATCAAGCCTAGAGAATTTGGAAAATAAATAATTTAATCAAAAAAAAAAAAATGTTGGCAGAGCACACTTTAAACTCTTTACTTTGAACTTTAAAATCAAACGTTCTCTGGAGTGCAAATATTTGCAAACAAGGTGAAAATTGAATGTAATGTTGCAGATAAGAAGTTAAACATTTAAGCAAGTTAACTAAACAGATGTGGTGTTAAACTTAAACCACGTCTTCTTTGAAATACTGTATGAAAATGGCTCCACATAGATGAGGCCAAAAGAGATGTCAGCGGCTTATGTCAAAAGCCTTAGCTGTACTTCTGATTGATTTGTTCTTTAACTTCGCCTGCCTGACTGCCTTTAACATTATGTCAGGTGGTGTACTGTCATTCTCTGTCTTCAGTTGATAATTTTCTTCCTTCCTTCAAAAACACATTCATCCTTGCAATTACAAATTAATTACATCCTTATTTGTCTACTACCCTTGTTGCCTTACTAAATTAACAACTATATGATGTGGTGTGTGTTTGTATCTACTAACACACTACATGCCTTCGGTTTAAGACCGTATATACTCTCATGAATTCAGTCTTGTCCAGGCATATGGCTGCTGTTGTAAACTACTATAAGTATAATATTCTATTTACAGAATCATTCCCCAGTGTACTACTACAATTTGGCAATAGTTTGGTGTCCTTGGATCCCATGACATGGAAGCTATTAAAATAAATGATGATTTTTCCGTAACATTCTTTTAACAACAGTAATTTATTGATGGAAGTTAAAACCCGGCGAGCCATTGGATGTGAGCTAACCGCATGTATACTGCCAACACTGGGTAAACTGAGTAACAACCCGTCACTGGATCTTGGATGAATGTCTGTCGAATATCCAACTTAAAACTAACTTCACCGCGTGTGAGGACATTCCCAGCTGCGATCCACTTCTGACTTCTGAGGTAGCCTTAGCCATTCAATTTAGAAAAAGCGGGTTTAACATGTGTGTTTCTGAATGTAAAAATCCATTTCGATATTGTTTCTAAATGTCAGTTATTGTGATACAAACTGTAAAAACATGTCCAAAAATTGCGCACTGCAACAATCACCAGCAAGCAATCATCATGTTGTTTGTTTTCAACATTGGAGGTGACACAAAAATTTTGAGCGTTTAATTCACTATTTTCTGCATTCTGTTGAATTTTTCTGCACCATTATTTGTCTTTTCCTGCATCAATTTATCGCAGAAATGTCTTCATATATGTAAAGAGAAATACACAATTCCTACAGATGGCAAAACGTAAGAATAATGGAATATAGCCTAATGCAGTAAGCTCTCAGGAAGATTGTTTTTTAAATATGTATTTTCTCCTGTTTATGGGCTTTTCTCATGTAATTATTGTTGCTAAATTGCTTTGCTGATGTAATAATAGACAATCCCTTTCAGACCGGCTGACAGACACAGAACCCGTTTGGGATTGTAGCCTATGATGGAAGCTTGCTGCTCTTCATCGGAGGTGGGAAACCGAAAGTAAAACACTTGTGATCAGGCAGTTAAACCTCACACGAATCCACACAAATGGTAATTTAAGCACCTGCAGGTCACAGCCGCTTCAGCGGGAAGCATCCTGGAGCAGTGAGACAGTCCCAGATAGAGTAAAGGTGTCGCCTAAAGCGAGGGGGACAGAGACAGCAGAGACAAAGAGTGACAGATGTGTTGTTATTGTTGTATTATGTTATTCTCTCGCTGATTTGCGGCGGACTCTTAAACCGTTGGTGTACCAAATATAGGCTAGAGAGTGACAGTAAGGGTTATATTAAACTTTTTTCAAAGTCAAAATTATTCCTAGAGACAATTCATTAGTGCTGAAAAGGGACATGTTGTTGTGGTGGCAGCCCGGCTGACGGCGAGTGTCCTGGTTTTTTCTCCTTTTTTCCAGTTTTTCTGTTTTCTCCTTGGTTTCCTGTTCCCTGCCTGCCTCCCTGTGTTTTCTCCCCTGTGTGCTCTCTCTCTCAGCTCCTGAGCCCAGCCAACTACCCGCACCTGCATCTCATCAGCCACCTCGTCAGCCTGCCACACCTGCCAGTAATCACCTCATGACTGCCTGTATTTCAACCCCATCCTCGCTTGATCGTCGTTGCTCCATACCTGGTGCCACTGCTGTGTTCAGGCTTCCATGTTTCTTGTTTTTTCACACTTACCCTGTGCCTTGTCGCTGTCTTCCCTAACCTTGTCTCTCTGTCTGTTTCCCTCCCAGGTACACTCACCCTCGTCCTCCGTTCGGCTGGGCTCATCCACTGGCCCACTCCTCCTCGGACTTCCCTCACGGCGTCCTCCCTGTTCCCCCGCCTCTCCTCGCTTCCTCGGCCCCTGTGTTCCCCGGCTCCCTGGCCCCCTGTCTCCTTGGTTCCCCGTGCCTGTACTTCCCCGACGTCCTCCTCTCCCTCCACTCCAGTCCCTCTCCCCCTTTCCCCCCCAATAAACCTCCTTCCCTCTGAGTGCTGCATTTGGGTCCTCTCTGTCCACACACCACACTCAGTAACACACGTCCCTACTTTATTCTACGCCTTGTGTTTAATGGGCAGTGACATGATAGCCTTGGGGGATGAAACATGACTGTTTGTGATATTTTATAGTCATCACATTTGCCTGTAAATAATAATAAGTGCTGGTAAGTTTAAGATGCAACATGGACCCTTTGAATCTCTCAAAAACAACTGGATTATGAAATTTGTTACTTTATTTGTAACTTTATGTAGCCTACTTGTACTTCATATTTTTTAATAAACTTGAAATTCTTAAAACCCACTATTCTGTCCTGTTGTACAATTTTGGCCCATTTTCCTAACATTATGTGTCTTCCACTTCCCTCCAGCAGTGAACGACTTTGTCCCAATTGCTACGCTTGTATGTCAAGATACAAAGGAACAGAAATAACAATGAAACAGGAAATAACGAATATACAAATATTTTACAGCAAACAGGAATATAATGACAAATAGTAGTGATGAATTAAACTAAATAATGAGTGCAAATATGGATACTTATACAAATAGAAGTATAAGTTGTGTGGATATGTACAGTATTTTACAGTATTAACAGAAGTGGCATGATGAATAGTAGTGAATTAATTACAAATAGTAATAATGACTACTGGGACAGTCCCAATGACAGCAGTAACGAGAGTAAGTAGAGTATTAATATTCTACACTATTTCGGGAAATGCACTTTTTATTGACTAAGAGACTGTGTTTGAGACTCTAAAGGGACAAAAGAGTTAGACTTCACTTCAGTAATCAAAAGTAAAAGTAGTATAGATCAAAATCTATTGATCTTACAAAATGCAATCTATCTTTTTAAATTCACTCAAGACAGGTTTGAATACAGCATTATCAGTTAAAGTGAATCACAATAAGGAAAACTGAGTTGCAAGAGGACAAGTGGATATTTCCTATATGTGGGGAGGATAAGTCTGCGTTATTGCTCTGCTGTTGTGGCAGTATCCCCTTCAGGGACCTCAGCCTCCTCAGAAAATAGAGATGGCTTTGGCCTTCCTGTAGAGGGCTTGAGTGTTCTCTGGCATTCCCAGGCATTTGTAGTTATAATACGGACTCAACCCTCAATATCAATAGTGAAGAAAAAGTAATAAGAAGAGCAAAACTTGCTGATAGAATTAGGGAATAAGAGCATACATCCTCTCAAAAGACAAGAACCAGTCTAGAAGTCCTGGTCATAGCCACAACAAATCATGACAAAAAAAGGCTAGTCAGCAGGTGCGTGAGAAGACATTTTGGCTTAGAGTAGTTTGCTGCAGAGTAGAAATGCGCGCATACAAAAGTAACGCAATTACAGTAATGTATTGCTTTTTGCTATAATGCAGTTGTATAACACATTACTAAAAATAAACCGGTAATGTTTTACCCTTTACAATCTCAGTAACGCACGTTACAACATTTTAACCCAAAGTTAAGTGATTTTTTTTATAATTCAACAACACCAAGAAGCATTTCACCAGCAGAAAAACATCCGCGGATATAACTCACATCACAAGAACCAACCTATGCTCAAAGTAATGCAAAAGTAAGTTAGTGTAAAGCATTACAATTCAGAGACAGAAATATTGAAATATAACTAATTACTCTAAAATGAGAGTAACTAGTGATTTATAATGTAGTACGTTTTGGAAGTAACTTGCACGAAACAGTGAAACTGTTTGGAGTGGAGCAGCCTTCCTCCTGATCAAACCTGAGCTCCATCAGAGCGTCTAAATTATTTCAGAAGCTAAATGTTGAATTCTGTTTGCAGAGTTTCCTCTGTCTGTCCTGTCAAGTTTATAACTACAGTTTTTAGTTTTGTTAAATAAATGTCCCATCACACCAATGTAGCTCCTATAATCGTGAC